CGCCCCCCAAGAACCACACCCATAAAATCTGTAATTCCTTTCTGAACTAGCTTAGATGAGATTCTACTTTGGTTTTGCAGAAGCTCTTGCCTTTCTGAGCGAGACTGTTCAACTAGAAGAGCGATCAGGGCAATCATCTTTTCAAGGGCAGCAGGCCTGTATTTTTCTTCTGCTAAAGAAAGTATATCTTCCTCTTCCTCCTCTTCCTCCCCTTCTTCCTCAGAAAGTACTTCAACCTGTGGCTGAAGGGGGGGGAAAAAAAAAGGTAACTTCAATGTGGACATTTTGAGCCTTAATTTCAAAGAGTCTGTACATGGTTTTGCATATATTCTGTCCTCTCTTTTATTCAAAACAACTTAATGAACTTGCATGAATCAAACCAAGTAAATATCTAATCACTTGATTTTCATGCTGAAGCGTTCATTTTGCATAAGCTAAACTGTATTTACAAATGCAAAAGCTAGGCTAGTTGAAGTCACTACATAGCCTGCTATGGTGGTCTATTCAATAAAAAAAAGCAAGTAAATTTAAAAGCTTAAGTTGTACAACAGGAGTAAGCAATCAATTGTTACCATTAATAGCCTGATGAGGGCAACCTTAATTGCTTCTACTTAATATGTATTTCTATACTAAACAGAAAACTCTGGTTTATAGCATAGCCAATTCAGCATCTTTTTTAAAATATTATATCCACCTAAACGTTGAAAAAAACCTGCATGAGTGAAACAATTTTAATTTAACAGCTGACAGATGGTTCAAGAGACACAGCACTAATGGTCATATATGTAAAATAGGAAAGACTGGTTCTCGTTATACAAGATACTGAAACTTACATTTTCAGGTCCTTTGGTTCCCATGTAGAAATGGACCATTGTAGATATGGCTTGCAGTGAAAGCAAGAACTGGCTCTGAAACACGTAGATATTGAATTACTTGAAAATACATACATGCATATACATACCTAATTCCCCAAACTACAAGGCTGTACTTACTTCCTCTTCTCCCATTTTGGCAAATTCATAAAGAAAGGCAAAGTATTCCGTGAGATGTTTACTGTGAGGCTTAACACCATGCTCCATAATTGACAAGAGCGTCTTCACAAAGCGTGTTACACAAGAGCGACTGCCAATGTCTTCCACAGGACCATCCATGTCATCCGAACTGAAAACAAAATCCAATTTAGGTATTTCACACAACACATGGAGCATAAAATCATCTTGAACCATTAAAAAAAAAAGTAGTTCACAAAAACTTCAAGTTTTCTACTCTGTCCTACTGTCATACTCAGATCTCTAACGTTTTTTCTTATGCCAAGTATAGCCGAGATAACAACATGGCTTAAAGTAAGGTGGCATCCATCACTCAAAAGGTTGAAAGGTTAATAAAATCAGTATTCTGAATCAGGATTCTAGTCAGGAAAAGAATTCTTAGAAAAGCAGTATTAGGGGATCTCCTGCTTAAAATCACCTTCTTGATTTGCATGTCGAATTTCCCGAGTTTCAAGAAAGAATGCTGTTACAGCTAATTATACTGTGGAACTAAGGAAAGGCAGTCTCCTAAAAACATATACAGGATCCTGACAAGGCAGAAAACACACACTTTCAATGTTATTCATCTACTGAAAGTTGGATCTTATCACTGAACAAAACAAGTGACAGAGTCTTTTAAAGTAAGGCTTCCAGAGAAAATTAAATTCTATGTTTTGCCATGAAAACTGTATCTTCATGTCCTGAATTTTGCTACGGTGGTGCAGTTATTACAAACTCTGCCGTTCTTGCTCTGGAAAAAAGTTATTACCAGGAACACAAGCTTAACCCAAGAGACGAAAGCAAAACCACTTTCTTCTACTCATTATGTATCAAAAAGAAAAAGATTTCATAACTGGAGACAAAGCGACAGTTTTCTTGATAATTAGCAGAACAAACCAGAATCCAATAGGGTTTTTTCTACTTTTTAACAGAAACTGTGATTTAGCTATATGACACAGGACTAGACTCTCATCTCCAACCTCTTTTACGGAATGTACAAATTAAAATTTGCACCTATATGCCTCTGGATCCAATTTACAATCGGATTCTCATGTAGAAGTAGCAAGATTTACGCTTGCAGCGTATTACTGGCAGTGAAAAGACAGACCATACTGAAAATCTAGTCTAAGGGAACATTTCAGCCAGTGTATCTTTAGACACTGGCTTTTCCAACGACAACAATATTTTCAAATAAATCAGAGCACTGTGGGTAGAATAATAAAGAACAATTAAAAGAGTACTATTTTAGGTTTACGAGACCATTTTGAATAATTCATTAAACAAAAGTGGTTGCTGTGACGCGCGTAATAAATAGAAGTTTTCAGGTGTTATTATTTTACCAGTCTTCCATTCCTGGCTGGAGATAAAGATGTGCATGCACTGGCCTCAGTCTTTGTATCACATGAATACACAAACGCTGGAACATCTGCAAATGCATAAGTAAATGAACTCCACATGTTCATTCTTTTACATATATGTCAATACATATTTTCTAAGCAGAGACTATTCTGTCTCCAAGTATCACTTCCAGCTCTACGTGATTCAAAGTTAAAGCTCCGATTGAGACGCCCGCATTCCATTTATTAGAGCACCGACACATCGTATTTTAACAGAATAGTCAAACCTGCTTTTTATAAACAGCTCTGATGGAGGAACCCTAAAATCAGTTTTTAATATTGGTGTACACTGTACATTACTGAAACATGGCTTAAGACTGCTGCTCATAAGCATTATTTTTTCTTCTAGCTCTATTTTCTGAAATGTTTAGATACTTTTAGCAAGATTTTTTTTATTTTGCCTCTGGCTATAAGAAATTATGTGCAAATTTTAAGGAAATTTGTTCCAGTAATTTTTAATTTATTAAACATTCATCAAGGATTAGAGCTTTGCCTAAGATTTTGCACAGAGTTCTCCCATGAAATATATTCCTTTAATACTGGGTTGCATGCAGAAACTATATATGGCTCTATATGGAAATATTACTTGAATAATCAGAAAAGTTAAACCAATTGAAGGGTTCAGGTGAGATGAAGTAATTGCTAAAGTTTTTACTTACACGACTTGCAAAGAAAGTATACTTACAGGTGAAACTATTAATAGTATTTGTATCTTTGAATATCCACATGCTACTAATGTAGGACTTTTTCAATTTTAAACGTTTCCAGAAAAGGGTATTAACAAAACTTTGTAGCATAATGTTATAAAATTAAATCTATCTACGAAACTCAAAGGCAGAAGTCTAGAAGTGAAGCTTTCCGTTAGGAGTACTGAATGTATGTAATTTATTATTTTTTATTTTCTGAATGTGTGTCTTGATGCATTACTGTTGAACCAATTCAGAAGAAAAACATTTTTAATGTAAAGTGTTCAAATTTGTAGCGATCATGTGGGAGTTGTAGAAACCTTAATTTGTATCTATTGTGACATTTTGTGATCCTAACTGTACAACTATGGCACCATAGTAATATTCATTTTGTTTCAAACAACAATAATGCTCCTGTGGTCAAATATTTTCTCTAATCATACGCAAGAATGGAAAAGAATAAGATAATTGCATGTACTAATAAAACCTTGCAGAATCATTGTATGTGTCATAATAATTGTCCGTTTCTATTCATGGGTCAAGTAGTCACTTGACTTAAAAAGGAACATTCTTCCTTACCTGTCTCACAATCTGATTGGGACACTTTATTAGAATCTGCATTGGCCACCAATCATCATCAGCCATACGATCCAAAAACCACTGCAGAAAACACATACTTTGTTAGTTTTGTTCCAAACTTGTTCTACTCCCATCTTCTTTTTGCATGATATTAAAGTCTGAAGAGAAACTGGTGTTACTATTATTAAGGAATAAGCAAGCATTAATCCAAGGGAAATCTAAATGTCTTCTGTGCATGAGAAGAAAGGAATAAAGATCAATAGCAGTAAACATCAATATAAATTTATATCCAGTATCTTCTTATGCCTGTGTTCTGCATGCCATTATTCAATTATCTGGAAGGACATAGTTATCCTGAAAAGTGATGTCAACAGCAGAATAAAAAACGATGCTTGCAATGAAGCATAAGCTGAATAATCTTGTAGACTAGGGATAGGCTTAAACAAGAATGTAGTGCCTGAATTAGATCCCTTTTGCATTTTAACACGTGGAAAAGCCCTTCTACCTCCAGAGACAGAAAACGTATAAAAATAACAAGAGAATGATTCATTTGAAGTTAGAGTCGGCAAATAATACCGCTGAGTATTCTGACTCCATGAATTCTGCTTTATTCACAAGGAAAGACAGTTTAAATTAAAGACTCCAAGTTGTTGTTCATTTTATTTTTATTGTACTGGAGTGTTTTTTACTGTATTAAATGTCTTCACTCATTTTAAGCATCTTAGGACTACACCATACTAACGAAACTGTATTACCCAAATACTAGATGTTGCGTAACAATTTAACAACCTAGAATCCATTTAATGAATTTCATTCATTTGTACTGAATAAGGTCTAACGCAGGATACAGTATGTATTGGGGTTCTTGTACATTCAAACTGTCACAGGAAGTCTACCACAAACTTTCCTTCAGTATCTCAACACTGTTGTCACCAACACCACAGTGAATTCTTTCTCTACGGTTTCTCAGTCCCTCTCTCCACTTTGCCCCAGACTCCCTTCAGGCAGCATCCCCAACAATTTTACATAAACAAAACAAAACACATTCCTCTGTTTTTTTCCTCCTTCTTCTAGGAGTTTTCAGTCTTTCTACACATGGGGTTCAAGATCCTCAGCTTCACACGCGAGGCACTACATGAAGCTGTTTTCAGCTAGGTCTGACATTAGCTGTTCTTATTCCCTTTCTAAGCCTCTTCATTGCATCAGCCTTTTATCTCACTGCCCTCTTCCCTTGGATTCAACTCCAGTCCCTGCCGTTCTAGTCCTTAAATAGCAGTCTGTCTTTCCATTTCTCTTGTGTCATTTCATTTAAACACCTCTTAATTCTGTATGTAATAATCAAACAAAGAGGTTGTGACACTGTGTGTCTTCTATTGCAGTGACAAAATGATTTTGGCCTGTAAAAGTCAAGTCATTCCCCAGAATCTGCAGTATTCAGAGAGGACGAATTTCATCTCATAGTGCACAAATATGCCAAATACAGTAGTTCATAGTCCAAAATATTCCAGGGATACGAACCTCCAGGAAAGTTAAACAATATATAGAAAGTTGGTTTGTACTTTGCTGAGTTCCTAAGTCACTTACTTCACAAGCTGCCTGACTGTTATTAAACTGTTTTGTTAACAGTTCAATCCACTGAAGCATTGTAGGCTGTAAAAAGAAATACAGAAAATACTATAACTTAAAAGAATAAAGTGCAACTTCATCTTTAAACATTTCTAAATGGTCAGTTAGAACACTGAATCTTAAGAATATAGTTACAAACACTAAACGCTTTAGAAACTAGTACGTGTTGCACCTACACAAAAATAACAGTACCTGCGCTGAATCTAATGCAAGTAGTACCTACGCATTTGGACTAATCGTCCAATTACACATTATTACGCATTCTTACTAATCCCAGACAATCTAGAATTAGTAGCATTATGCCACCACAGATAAGAAAGTAGTAACATTTGTCTGAGAATAAAGATGTTTCAGACAGAACTTTCTTGTTGTTCATGCTACTATTGTAACTTAAAAGTTCACGAGCACAACTGTTGTTCAATGGTAAACAATCCCCTCTACATCAGACTTCAACAAGTGCTTGTTAAGAGCCAAATCATCCAGGAATTTTCAAATTAAAACACCACAAGATCTGCTGTTCCTGATGCTTTGCTAAGGCAAAGTAAGCTAAAACCAGAACCCATATTTTTTCCATTGCGCAGTGTTTACTATAAATGTGTTAAACGACACTCTTTAAACATGGACTTTGTATAATCTATGGTACTTATTATGTCTCAAAATCACGCTTTTAAAATGAAAAAGTACAGACATACTTTTCATTATATTCATGCAGCTACCTAATAAGAATTTACAAGTAAATAGAATACCTTTTCCTTTGAATGAATAAATGTCTCTAGTACAAAGGAAGTGCTTAACTGGAAAAAAAAAAATATTGCACCATTAATTATAGAATGCCTGAATTAAAATGTAGACAAGGCAAAATTTAAAATAAGCATGATATACTTTTGAAATACTTACCTTTGCTGTCATCAGGGAAACCGCTTTTGGATCTGGTAGTGTGCTTGGGATACTACTACACAACTGCCACATAAACCTAGAGTCAGTAATTTTATTTGTTAATGAAAATAAATAATGAAAATCTGCAAGAAGAAAAGAAGCATTAATATTACATTTTTTAAGAAAAACTTACCCAAAATATGTATGTTCAAAAATGTTCTTGTCTTGAAGAAACTGCATGTTATCATGCCATATCCACTGAAGAAAAAATGCTAACATCAGATACAAGAAAGCAGTTTATTTCACTACATAAGCACGATTTTAAGAATATTTAAACGCTTTCCATGGCTAAGAAAACAAAATTTTGTCTCACGAAAAATTATTTTTGGAGACTTTTTCTTTATTTTAAAGGATTGGCTCAAAGTCATTTTATTCATACTATAGCGAATTTTAGTTTTGCCTGCCATGTGACTGAGCTCAGAACCTTCTCCTCTTTCTGTGATCTCATTTTTACAACTTACATTTTTAGGGTGCAGTCTTGAGAACTGGTCCAACACATTAAAACAGAACCACAGCTGAAGGCCATATTTTGATGTCTGTGATAGTGTAATAACTTAAAAAAACCAAAAACCTCTGTAAATGCATAGTTTCACTAATCGGGATCAGTTGGACTTTCTTAGCAGCCTAGCTTACGTATGTCTAAAGGTTGAAGTTCTGACCCAGTGCCTGGTGAGCTCTGTGAACTTTTGATAAATTCTTCAGGAGTAAGATTTGAGTCTCCGTCATTAACCAGAACAGCATTTCATGCCAGGTCCCCCTGTCCCTCTCTCCAAAATGTTTTTGACCAAATCTGTTTGCAGCATTTTTCACATAAAAATAGTTTAAAAGTTCAACTCTGATAAAATCTATTATTATTTTTAAGACCGAGAAGGATAAAAAGCATGATCTGATTTGCTGGCTATGGATGAAGAGTCTTTTTAAGTTAAGAACCTAATGTGTGACAGATGATAAAACAATACCTCTGGCCAAAGGGAGCAGGGAAGCTGGCTTTTCAGGTGATTAAGAGGGAGAAGAATGTCTTACGAAACCCGTATTGGGGATGTATCTAGCACAGTGAGATCCCTAGTGAAATACTCTGCTCCTGTGCGCTGCCTTTTCCAATTCCTCAGACCACACGTGGCTTAATTAGTATCTTCATATAAATAGCCAGGTATCCTAAGAGCAGCCCTCATCACTGAGGAGAAAGGGAGGTGTAGCTGTTGCTGGTTTTTGTTTCCCCCACCCCTTTTACTCACACCTGGGCTGCTCTCTGACTATGGGGAGGCAGGGATCCTTTTCTGACCGATGCTCCCCATCGTAAGCACAAATAGTCATGATCTTACACTGCTTTCCCTTAGAATTTCACAACCCACTAGCAGAAGCACAAACAGCTGGAACTATTCTCTTACTCTGTCCCCCCTCAAAGCAGTAAGTTGCTGAGGAACTGAAGGACAAAAACGATGGTGGTTAATGAGAATACTTCCTGTAATATTGCAACTGTTCAGAAAATCTTGATAAGCACTCACAAAAACCAAACCACCAGTGCTCTACGATTTTTTACAAATATGAAGCAGAATGATTCAGATATCTGAACTAAAAAATGCAGGACAGAATGAGAAAATGTCCAAAATTTACACACAGTAGAAATCTTAATTTCCTTCCTATCAAACAACATTTTCTAAGGAAGACAGCTAAACAAAAGGATCGTCACCTTACTGAATTAAATTTTATTTGCTTTCCCATGTTTATTCTCATTCCCGATTTGTTTAGATTTCCTATAGTATTTTAAAATTGGTGTTAAAACAAATCAACTTGTACCTCCAGCAATTCTGATGAAACATCAAATTTGTAGTCTTTGCCATTTTCCTCTTCTGGTTCCATCCGTTTATAAAACAGCATGTAAGCACTGTGCGTCTTTAAGAAAAAAAAATCTGTATAATTTTTGCTTTGAGAGATAAATCATGAAAGTAGAAATACAATCATATAACAAATGTTTGGAAGAGAAATACCTTTTCAAAGGAGAAGTCCATAAATTTATCAGTAACAGAATCGTAAGTTTTTGTCTGTCAAGAAGAAAGTGAAACCATTAATTACAAGCTTTTTCAATAGCCTGGTTACTGACAGTTTGAGATAAACGTGCAAACAAACTATTTCACGACATTTGCAGAGAGGCTGACAGTTTATTTCTTGCTCAAAGTTGTCGTCTTTCTTTTTTTCTTCTGCAGTGGCCTATTCTGATTTTTCAAAGTTGCTATGCAATATTGTGACCAATATCTCATGCAATTTCCTGTCTCATCCATCTCATTGACACCTCTTCTTTTTAGGCACCTAAAGGTATTTTATCCATTTGCCAAAGTAATTTTTTATTTCTGCATATTTTCTTTATCAGACAAGAGGATTTTTCTTATTCACTGGACTGTTTTAGTAACATACGGCATTACTAATAATGTTTTATATAATGATATATAATTATAAGAAATTATCAATTCAAGCATAACCCCAGAACATTTGAGTGTCGTTCAACAGTTATTTGTATTCGTATCGTGTAAAAATGTTCAGATTGATGTCAAAGGGCAGGGGGCTGACCCAAAAGACAAAGCTGATACTGTATTAAAAACCTTGCACGACTGAAAGCAAATAAACAACAACTTAAGAAATGTTATCTCCTTACAATAAAAGGATCGAGGAAAACTATTTAAGCCGGTAGGTCCATTAGCTTGAAAACCACTGACTAATACCAGAGATCAAACTTTACTGCTGAACAGCAGCATAGCTGTACACAGCTCTGACTGGTTTTTAGTTCAGTTCTGTCACCAGTGAAAAAGGATCTGACCGTAAGAGGTTCACAGACCAGAATCTGGAAACTACTGACCCAAGGCATAAGATCAAAAAGTCCTGTTTTTCCAGAATACGGACAAGCTTGAAGTAATTATTCCTTCAGTCAACAGTCTGAGCAACAAAGCCATCCAAGTGAAGGATTCCTAAATGAGTTGCATACTCACTTTTTTATAAGTAAATAAATAATATGATGATAAAAAGCAGATATAGTGAAGAAATACCTCTTCTTTGGAGACAGACTTCACTAATTCATTTGGATTCTTTAGTAAGACCTACGCTAGACTTCTGACACCTGTCTCTTAAAACTGCATAAAAATATCTGGATTCATATTTACAATTAATATGATAGTTGGTACAGGAGAAATTAAGACCCTTCTCCTGTACTCAGCTTAACTTCTATTCTACAGAAAGCATAGAAAAACTAGAGAGCATCGCCAGCTTGGAAGCATTCACTCTGCCAAGTCTTTCATCCCCCAAAGGAGGGGGAGACCCTTTGAAGAGATCAATGGTGGAACAGCTATCTACATAAACATAAGATAAAGTATCACCTGCACAACAAAGATGTCAAAAGTTTAATAAAACCCAGCTACCACTTCTAACTGTTTCATATACATTCACAACAGATGGCAGACCAAAGGTGAACACTATGGAATCCTTCACGAAAAGTCTTCAGAACAGATACTTTAATGCTGAACATGAAAAAAATAAAAGTCATAACTTTTCATAACTTACAGTCATTTCTCCACCAAAACATTCTGAAGCAAGCTGGGCAGAATCAAACGGTTTTACTTCAGCATCATTAAAAAGATACCTGTAAAAAAGTAAGCTTTTGAAACAACTGCTGTTTGTCTCTAAGGGCAAATAAAGCATAACAAGCACTTAAAATGATTCTTTAGATTTAAGTATTCCTATTCATTTCTCATACCTTGCTTGAATCACGGCAAACTAAAAACTGATCCCAAAAGTGACTTCCTTTCAATAAGATCAGGAAGTCAGCATTTCAACACTCCTTGGTTTTTCTTTTAATCAAGAGACACATTACTTTTTCCCCATTTTTCCAGCCTGACTCTGGCACAGATAGGGTTTTAATACAGCCAAGATGATTTGCCTTTTCCTTTTCAGTTTGACTGAAATAGAAATAAAAATTTAAAAAAGGAGAACCATTCCATAATGTTGGAATTCTACTATTGTAGAACTCGAAGGGGACAGAGAAAAGTGGTGCACTGGTATGGATTCCCTTTGGAGCAGGGACTGGGCCACTGGTTGGAACCATTTAAAAAATGTTCCAGCTAGCTATTCTAGAGAAGAGGAATAGAGGAAATCTTGTCTTCTATTCCAGGGCCTCAGCCAAGAATCTGAGATACGACATCCAGAAATGACTGGGAGAGTTCCCTGCTTTCTTATGGCACCTAGCAAGACCCTCCCTATTTCCATGCCTGTGTCTCATCCCTTTCCCAGGCTACCTCCCCTAACTTTTTCTCCCTCTTCACAACCACAATATGTCCAATGTATGCAGAAGTTTCCAAATTAGAACTGGGATTCCTTAGGTTAAAAAAAAAAAAAAAATTATTTTAAAAAGAAAATACTACGTTGCATTTATTCATCCATCACTTATGTCTAAGAAGATCCTGTCTCTTTTTTTAATCTTTGAAAAGAAGGGACAGAAAAATAAACACTATCAAGTATTCCAGTACATCACTGTAAATTGCATCTAGGAGAAGCTAGCCCATAGGAAAAGATCACCAGCTAACTAAACTGAAAAATGAAATGTGAAACCAATTCCACATATAAAAAGCACAGTAAGAACAGGTTTAGATAACCTACGTATTGTAACACCATTTCTGCCACATAGGATGCAACGAGTTTAAAGCAAATAAAAATTCAAATTGTTGTTTCACAACAGACAAAATGAAAAGGACCGAATTCCACAATCATAAATGTAGCTGTACGCTTGGTCAAGGGTAATAGCCAGATTTTATGAAAGACAATCTATTAAATCTTACTATTCATTTGTACAGATAAAATAGAGTCATTGATATTCATGCCAAGAAACAAGCATCGGCTGCGAGACCAGCACGGCATTCTCCTGCTGCCCCTGTGTCCAAGGCACTCCACAACTATTACAGCTACAACAAATGAACTTGTATGCTAATAAATTAATATACTTACACCTATCCAACATCTTGGGCCTTTGAGGGGAACCTACAACATGTATCTCCTATACAACTGCATCTAACAAAGTCAGCAAGTTTTAGTTATTTCAACATAAAGAAATATAAAATTTTGTTTTGCTTAACTCACCATTTGTTGTTTTTGTAAGCATGGGGATTGACTATATCTCTGATAAAACTGTAGTAATGCCCACCATCTGCTGTTCCTGTATGAACCGTTACACCTATCAGATCATATTCGTAACTTTCAGTTTCTTTCAAATATTCACCATCTTCCTTAAAACCTGAAATAATTTAATACAATATTTAATCAGTTATTTCCTAAACACCTGAACTTCAATATTACACATTTCCTGTAGGTGCACTTAATTTTTTTCTTTTCAGTGCTCTGCAATGATGACAGCCAGAAACTCCATACTCAGAAGCAGCAGCATAGATCCCAACTCTTGTGAAACAGTTACAGCTTTTTTTGCAAAGCATCACTGCTGAAGAGATCAGGACTAATAACTAAGTTATTCCAAGCTAGCACATCTTATTTATGATGGCAGTTAATCAGCCATTTGCTGAAGTTCAAGTATTACCCTGCAAAATCAAAATAGGCCAGCAACAAACTGTATGTAACTATTTGTAACTTCTCTCATACTTTAAAAACAAATTTAAGAATAATTCAGATTGAACAGGGTATGGAAAGAAGTAATTGGCTGGTTTTCTTGTATTACATAAAATATGTGACTTAGGTTGATTGAAACATGTTTGATTTTATTTTCTTAAAAAGAAAAATCACTAATTATTTGCATATGTTGTGTATACAGAAAGTGGTACACAGATGAAAGAGACAAAGCCTGCTGAATTCATTTTATGAGCCATACCTTCTTTTCTGTCATTTTTTCCCATGAGGAAGTCTTCAGTGTAAGGTGTCATATCCAAACGTAAAGGGAATGAAAAATGCGTATTGACTTTCTCCTTCATCATGGTTACCATATTAAATGTGTATCTCATTGTGTTGAAGCTTAAGATACGAGGTAGTTTCTTAAAACATGCCCTGAAGGATTAAAAATAATAATGATTTACGAAAGCTTAGGGGACTGAATTCTATTTTCACAAAGATTTTCACCACATTTATTTCCAACATAAAATTGGAAATCTGTTGCTAAGTCACATAAATATAAAATTCAGCTATTGCAATGCCCTAGAGCAGGGCAGTCTAACTGGCAGCAGAAAGGTCGAATTTAGCCTACTGAACAAGTCTACGGAGCCTATCGGAAGAAACATGAGATTTACGTGTATGACATGAACGACAGTGTTCTAAAATGATATTGTAAAATGAGTCATGAATGAATTTAACAATGCAAATCCCCTCATTAGACAGAGTTACTATCTCATAACTGATGAGTTTCAATGCAGAACATATCTTGTATTAAACTGCATAAACTTCACAATAATGATTTTAAAGTAGGTTACTCTTTCACCCATGTCATTTTAACAGCTACAGAAACAACTATGAGGTTTTTCATCTCTAAAAAAGAAATTTGTTAGCTGCAATAGAAAGACAATATAAAATTTTTATTTAGCTTTCTCTTTATTAGCAGACTTTTTAAAATATGGAAACATTTTTAAAACTACCGATTTTAATTAAGGAATTTGGGATTATGTATGAAACCTAAGCAATTATCCTGTGTAATGAATCACACAAGTACTGAACAATCTCTGAAAGAATTTCAATCTTCTAAAAACAGGAGAAGTAACAGATTTCAAAAGGTACTAATTTCTACAAATTTATTTTCATTTACATTAAAAAAAGGTCACAACCATTTTACTGTCTAGGTGATCTTTTGCTAAGATACCTTATATTCTTTGTTTTGGAAATTTGATTTCTTAGTTATGTGCTCATTTGCACAGGGACCACATCCTCATAGGCCCACACAGTAGCAAACTGAGCGAAACTACAGTCTTGTTTCATCTAAAGGATTACTCTTATTCCAATAGTAATTTCAGTAATTTACTGAAAAGAAAGATTAGGAATGTTTATTTCTTCTTAATCATACCTTTTTTCAGCCCGCACTTTCTTCCCACAATGAGAACATGTATACATGTTGTCACCTTCCAAGGTATCTTTAATAGTTACTTCATCAAGAGATTCCTACATAAAACAAACAAACAAACAAAAAGGAGCTTACGTTTATCTTGGATATTTATATCTTGTGCTTGCATGGCCTGCTTTACAAACCCCTCTCTTTCAATCCTACAGTAAGTTTAATTAACATTTCTGTAAGTTATGGAAGTAAAGGTGGTCAAAGGCACCAAGAAGTTTGCAAAAAGAGCATGCACCTGAACTAAGAGAAGAGTCTAACAGCAAAACCAGTTCCTAACCCAAACACAAAATTAAGGAACCAATTCAGAAAAATGGCACTCAATATTCCAAGCTGTCCCAAAGAATTCAAGTGCTTCAAATTCAAATTCCAAGTGTGGGGATTAATAGTTGTTTAAAAAACTCAAAACCCTAAAATTGTTTTGGTATAAGTTTTGAATTACCTGAATAAGCAACAGTACATGTATATATAAAATCTTTTGACATCTACAATTGCCTCCTATAAAACATTGCCATGGCATTTTTAAAACACAGACGGGAGTAAGTGATTACTGACTACAACACAGCCTTTAGTCAATTCCAAATGGCACCAGCTGATAGCATGTTACATTGGAAAGATGAAACAATTCCACCAAATTGCCAAGTAGTATCAACCTAGAAATCACCAAAACTAGAGTGCAGATACAGAAAGCGTCAACATATTCAATAGCGTATGGTGCAGTCTCTTAAACTTGGCTGCACCCATTTATAATTCTGATCTATGGCGCACATCTCAGCCTGGCATTACTTACATAAATATTCTTCATATCTGCCACCTGGCATCTTACTGTATAGAACTCTTCAGCAGTCTGACTTACATGCTCACAGTCCTAAATCACAGCAACGAAAGAGAAAAGTAATGAAGTAACTGTTTTGAGAAGTTAAAAAAAAAACATCT